TGGAATCACCATTAGAGCTGACTGTTTCAGCATTTTGAGTCTTTTCTGTATAGAGTATATGTCCATAAATAGTGACTCATGCCTTCAGTAAACATTTAACGATAATCTGTGTTGAGACACTTTGAAGAGAATGGTGGAAACGTGATGAGTATGATGCCGTTTCTTCTCCCAAGGGACTGACAGATCAGATAATTTGCTTCCCTCAACGTTCTTTCTTTCTTGTTCCTAAAACTGCAGATCCTCAGCCCAGCTTCTACAGAAACGCAATAGATGTATATTACATGCTATTTGAATAATAATAAACATTTATTGTGCCTACTTCAAGGAGCCAAGAATAATGTTGGAAAAATGATTTTTAGTATATAGAAAGTCTTCTATTCAGTGAGAGGTTCCAAGAATAGTTGGCTGAGCATGGTGGCTCATGCCATGTAATCTCAGTGCTTTGGGAGGCTGAAGCAGGAGGATCACTTGAGGCCAGGATTTCAAGACAAGTCTGGGCAACATAGCGAGACCCCATCCGTCAAATAATAATAATAATGAAAAATTACCAGGCATGGTGGCTCACACCTGTAATCCCAGCTACTTGGGAGGCTGGGGCAGGGGGAATTTCTTGAGCCCAGGAAGTTGAGGCTGCGATGAGCTGATTGTTGCACTGCCTTGCAGCCTGAGTGAGACCCTGTCTTAAAAGAAAAAAAAAAAAGAAGAATAGTTATAACATCAAAAATCATGGATTATGGATTATTTATGATATTCACTAAATAAAAAAATATTCTTATTGTCCGCACTGTGTCTATGTGGTTCTGAGGCTTCAGCAAAGGTATTTGAGCAGTGCAAAGAGCCTGTCCATTTCCCTGAAAGAGAAACATTGCAAAGGTCAGTGTCTTTGCTTCAGGAATAACTTGCGCACCTTCTGTGGTGATTAAGAGCTAAAGTTTTCACTAATGGCTTTAGCTGAAAGTTATGAAAAGACTAGTTTTGTAAAGGACACAAATCAAATGTGTTCTATTTTGCTTCCTTACAAAGTCCTCATATCTTACGTTTACAAACACATTGCAATTTTTTTTCATGAATGCTTAATATTTTTGAGCACCTCTAACTCAGATTCAGTTTGTGGATAGCTGTAGGTGACACTTGTGGCTGCAGATGTACTCTAGTCTGTAGGGGGGGGGGGATGTGAACATTAATGGAAGTAATGCAGGCTTAGGACAGAGCCTGGTCCAGGCCTTTGCACTCTGAAGGGGGCACAGGTAAGGACGTTCGTTTGCCATTCAGTTCCACGGCATGGGTGAGAAAATGATGTTGAAGTTTAAGATCAATTTAACATCATGTTTAATAATATTGATGTTTAAATTACACGCCAGTAGAATATTCTTTGCATGAGGGATACCTTTCTTTTTAAACTCTCTCAAAATAGAATATGGGGAGGGGAGTCTTGCTATTTATTCATCCAATCTTTTGTTGGCATTTACTGGTCATCTTTTACATGTCAGGCACTGGTCTGGTGTTTGGGATCCAAAGATGAATAATACATGCCCCTGGGCTTCAGTGGACTTATACTGCAAAGAGGAAGACAGAGTAAAGTAAAGACAGGATGATAAAACCATAGATAAGTAAAAAGAATGATAAAGATGTTAATAGAACATAAATAAAAAACACTTTCCCTAGTAAGATACGGTGGGGTGGGCAGAACAGGCTTCCTGAAGTAGATAATGTTTGAATGGAACTTTGTGGCCTCAGCTGGGATTCACCACAGGAAAAAGAGATGAAAATAGAATAGCATTAGCAAAATCGTGGAAGGAAGAAACAGTACAGCAGGTAGAAAACTATGAGCAGTGTGATGAGGAAGAATTCTACTTGTTTTTGCTTGTTTTCATTTTAAATAATATACTGCTAAGATTAGACAATAATCAAAACCTCTACTGCTTCTGCTGAGCAGAGGGAGTACAAAGCTCTGCAACTCTGAAAGTGACACCTGCCTGTAAGAACTCAAAATGAGAGTATGGTCAGGGCTAAACTTTCCATAGGCTACAGTCAAAGTGTGATTTCAAAAAATTCCACAGCTTATTCTGAGGGCTCCAAAATCAAGATAAATAGAATGCTACCATATTCTACATACACATTATATGTGAAAAGCTTTAGCAGACCCAGCCATTTATTTGTTTAATATAAAGCTGGGAAATCGCTGTAAAGGTGGCATTCCTACTACACTTCTCTGGACTGCAGTGCTCCGTTTTACATTTGAGTCGTGCTTCTCAAGGTGACTCTATAGGAGCACGTTTCTCTTTCGGTCTTCTGGTTCCAGTAAGATAGTGGATTTTTTCCTCCTTTCTCTCTCTACTTATCTCTTCAAGGAGGTGAGGTCTTACTCTTACAGATGCAGCATAGGTTAACCTGGTGAGTCTGGGTATGAATTTAACAATTTAAAAATCCATAATGTTTCAACCTAAAGCCATAAGTGTGTTGGGGTGATCACACAATAAGAAAACCACTACAGCATCTGCTAAGTGACACTAACAGTTGGTCAAGTCCCATTAAATTGACTCCTTCAGCACTGAACTGAGAATACACTTGTGACAGAAATACTCAAAAGTAGGCTAAGAAAGAAAGTTTCCCATTCTCTGAATTAAACATACTTTTAAATTAGGCTTCTTTATATTTCTTTCTGCTCAGAAAAAAAAAAAAAGAAAAAAAAAAAGAAAAGGAAAGAAAGCATAACAGAACAGAATATTTTTAAAAACTTAGTCTTTGAGAGCATTTTAAAAGTCATTTTTCACAATAAAAAATATGTATACTCCTGGAATGAATGTTTGGCTGTCTTCAAAAGAATGGAAAATTTCCAGTGGCTGCTCACATATGTTCCACAAATAGATGCTCAACTCTGAAAAATGAGCAGAGTGCCTGGGGCTTGTGCAGAAGATTTGTGTATCTGGGAATCGACATTGGTCAAGGATCACTACATACATATGTGAAAAGCTGAGTTCTCCTTTTCTTTTTCAACGAGAAGATCGTGCTTTAAGATAACTTAGACTATAAGGAAGAACGCAACACCCGGACGCGGTCAACTGCCTTCTGGAGAATGATCTCCTTTCCTTTCGACACTCCGAGCTGTTTTAGTAAAACTTCCTTTAGGATCTGGATGAATCTGTCTTCCCAAATGATTTAAATCAATGGCGCTGTAAAAGGAACGCAAGTTCAAGTCAGTACTTGGAGTTATTTTTTAAATGCATGCATACTGAAATTGGCATTGAGTATGAATGTTCTCATAACTTTTGGGACTTTATTGTCAAGTTTAGTAATCAAATTTATTCTTAAATTGATTTTGAACTGATTTAATTCAAGCAGCTAGAATTACTTTGCCAATGTTAATGTAATTAATTTGCCAAATCTCTGAGGTGGGTAGACAGCAGCTCTAGCCAGCGTCCAGGAGAGGCTGAAATGGAATCTTGGTTCACCCTGAAGTTTCATTCAATTCTTGCAGGCATAACACAGTTTACGATGTATGCAAAAAATTCACATACATATTTTTCCTATTTTATGTAGAAAAGAGTTATGCAGAAAACCAATTTTAAATACAAATGAGTGTCTCAAGCAAATCAGTTGCTAAATCTCCCATTTCTGCTGTTATTTTCATCATTCTATTCATCCACGCTTCTGGGCTAGAAACCTTGACTTCTTTTTTAATCTCTCCGACTTGTAACCTTTATACCTAATTAGTCATAAAGTCCTGAAGGAAGTCTGTAATTTCTAAGAAGTTCATTTGTCACTGAACCAAGACCTTTTCCCTTCATTCTTGGATTGCAACTAGTAGACATGTCGACTGCCTTGCCTTCTTTTTGACTGCAAGGCATTTCATATATATTGCCAGTCATATTCCTTAAACTTACTTTGATAATGTCATTCTTCTGCTCAAAAATATTGCATGTCTCTTTCTCTGCTTTCCTTATGGGAAAAAAATTTAATTAGTTAGCCTAGAATTCAAGACCTGCTGAATACACTGTGCACTCCATTATTACTTTCAAATTTCTATTATTCCCAGTACTTACATATAGACAGTGTGCAGTAAGTTATTTCTGTTGACTGTTTTTCCACCTTTTAATTTTTACATAGGCCCCTCCAGCAACTCAGTTTCTCTCTTATTCATAGATAAAAATATATCCTTCAAAATCTAGCTCAAACATTATGTTTTCTGCAGACCCTCTCTTGTCTCTTCTGTGTGCAGTAGAAACATATTCATTCATACTTTGTATTCATCACACATTGTTAAGCACTTACTATGCTCCAAATAATCAAAGATGAATATGACACCCTGCCTCAAGGTTCTTACTTTGGGACATTCATCAGATAAACAGCTGGGGCAATGGTGTGATCAACACGACAGTAAAAGACTACATGGGTTCCAATGAGGATTCCTGGACAGTTCTGTAAACTCAGTGGACAAGGGGAAGGGACAAGGCAAGTTCTGTCATGTCAGGGAACCTTGAGTGTCTTAAAAACAGTGGCAAGATATTTCAGTCAGGGAGAATACTGCTGTGGAGACACAGAGGCTTGAAATACATAGGAGGGTTCGAAAACCAGAAGCAAATTTGGTTTGGCTTGAGAGGAGATACAAGGATGAGGTGGGTATAACCAGAAATGAGACAGGAACCGTCTTATAAAGTACTGGTTATGCTGTGCTAAGACTTGTACCTGAAATATAGTAGATGCTTAATAAACACTTATTTAGTAAACAAATCACTTTCTACTAGTAGAGCAAATTTTATTTACATTTAAATATTTCATATTTAATAATTTGCTAATTTACACCTTGGTTTGTTGAAGGACAACTAAGTATTCATACTGTGTGTTTTCAACATTCCATCTGGGGTAGATCCTTAACCTGTCATTGTAACAATTAGAAAAAGTTCCTTCCAATATGAGCACCAAAGGTGCAGAATTCTTGAAGTTAATATGTATAAACAGAATGTTCACATCTGTTCGTGCTTTTCTTTTTCTTTTTCTAGGTTCAGACATTGTTCAATGGTTGATAAAGAACTTAACTATAGAAGATCCAGGTAAATAAATCATTTTCCTATTACAAGAACTTTTTTCTTAGTGGTTTTAAGAATTGTGTTTCCTCAGGGATATTTTAATATGGCATGCAAGCAAACCTCCTGAAAAATTGTAATTCAGTTTGAACTGTGCTTTTAACATTTATGTAAATTTTATGGTAGTCAAAACATATTTAACTAAAAGTTCGCGTATTTCTACAATTTTTCACATCCTTAATTCTGCCATATTATTTGATTCAGGTCATTGGTGATCGTTAGACTGGATCAGCTGTATATATGTCCATAAAATAATTGTACATATAATTTATGGCAAGTGATTATGAATTAATGAACTTTCCCTCTATCAGACACATACATCTCATTAACTTATAATTTTGCCTTAACTACATCTTTCAATGCAGTTTGAAATCAGTATTTTATTTGTAATTCTGATTTTTTTATCATACCTACATGATGTGTGTGTGTGTGTGTGTGAGAGAGAGAGAGAGAGAGAAAAACGCTCTATTTAAGTCATGAACCTGTTCACCGTGTTGAACATTATGTCTATTCTGTAGCAGAAAACTTAATTTCCAAAGTAAGGGAACAATTTTTATGAGTTTGCACTTTGTATTGCCTAGAATAAGTTCCTGCATTTGCAAAGCATTTAATGACTTTTTTTTTTTTTTTTTTTTTGAGGTGGAGTTTCAGTCTTGTTGCCCAGGCTGGAGTGCAAAGGCACAATCTCGGCTCACTGCAACCTCTGCCTCCCAGGTTCAAGCGATTCTCCTGCCTCAGCCTCCCAAGTAGCTGGTATTATGGGCGCGTGCCACCACATCCGGCTAATTTTTTTTGTATTTTTAGTAGAGTCAGGGTTTTACCATGTTGGCCAGGCTGGTCTCGAACTCCTGACCTCAGGTGATCCACCCGCCTCAGCCTCCCAAAGTGTTGGGAATACAGGCGTGAGCCACCATGCCCGGCTACATTTAATGGCTTTTTAAAAATATGTAAAACCTTTCACACGTGGCAAACATTTCACATCACTGCAGGAAAATAAGATGCATATTGTTCAGAGAAGATTCTGAGAAAACAGAAAACAATAGCTATGAAAAGCTGGCATTACAGTGACTGCAGAAAAGGTCAGTGATATGCCAACCTATGTAACACACCCCTCCATCTATATAGAGAAGAACTTTGCATGGCTCTGGTTCCTGCCTCTGGTGATTATCGCCTTAAAATGGTTTAGAATTAACAGTACATGAAGATGCAAGGTTTTAATTTTTTCTCATTTTAAACTAGCTTTATAAAGCAATGCCATCAAAAGATGCAGCTCAAATTCTGTCCATAAAGACCTGTGTAAACCCCCAGCTCATTTGCTGCATGAGCTTTTAAAATACTCATTTTTGCGGGTCAAATGGTATTAAAACAATTAAGTAAAGATAAAGCAGCTATTGCCAGCATCATATTATCACCAGGTGAAAAGGGGAGATAATTAATAGGAAAGGAAGCTACAGTCTTACCAAGTTCACGTTTCAGCCTCACCTCAGTGGCATGCCTGTTTTTTTAAAACGGTAGGACCAGACAAATAATCCCAGTGCTAAAAAATGGATTGACACAGTCATGGCTAATCAGGAAACTACTGATTGGCAAAGACTATTAAGGGTCAGAGGTGAAGTAGATTTAAAAGAGTTATTATTTCTGTAAGGTAAAGACTGGGTGGGATGCGGTGGCTCACGCCTATAATCCCAGCAGTTTGGGAGGCTGAGGTGGGTGGATCACGAGCTCAAGAGTTCAAGACCAGCCTGGCCAATATGGTGAAACCCCATCTCTACTGAAAATACAAAAATGAGTTGGGTGTGGTGGCACGTGCCTGTAATCCCAGTTACTCGGGAGGCTGAGACAGAAGAATCACCTGAAGCCAGGAGGTGGATGTTGCAGTGAGCCAAGATCGTACCACTACACTCCAGCCTGGGCGACAGAGCATGACTCGGTCTCAAAACAAGCAAACAAACCTGAAGGTGTAGTTCAGTAAAAATCTAAGAAACAGAAAACATCTTCACAGATATCATAAGCTAGTAAGAAACAATCATTGTTTATAATTTACATGTAGGATCTCATTTTAGGTATAATGTGTATGGAAAACTGATTTTATTTGCTTGCTCAACACTTTGAGGAAGTTTTTAAGATTCATTAGAAGGTGTTATGAAGAGATAAAGCCAAATGTATCCAGGAAGGAACATACATGTTCTTTAGTCATATTTATGACAGGCTGAAAAATTAGTTTCTGATTTGTTGGTTTGTTTTTTTGAATGAAGTAATTCACCCTAGACAAAATCCAAGGCTCTGTACTGTTTTCAAGAAGAGTTAAGAAACATTAATGATTGTTCTGAATATGTAACAGATTGTGCACATGGAAAATGAATCAATCTGGTGGCTATTCTGATTGCAATTTGATGTGGTTAATAATGTAGCTGATATTATGAAAGTTACTTTGACGGCTGCCTATGTGAAACCAATCATATCTTTTGAAACTGGTCATGAAGGGAGACTAAGTAGTTATAATGCTAAGTCTAGTTTTAACTCTATCAAAAACTCCCTGAAGATTTTTAAAAATAAGAAAGAAACCCATGCCTAGTTTCTGTCTTGCGTGCTGTTTGGTAGCCAAGTGGTCATTTGAAGATCTCTAGGGATCGTCTGATGTTCTAGAAGTCAGTAATTTGCTGAAAGAGGGTTTTGTGGCAAGATGGAAGAAGAGACTAATTCTGGGTATGGGAGCAGGTTCTGATGGCCCATTTGGAGACAGGAGGAGAAGGTTGAATGATCTTCAGGACCATACTTAAGACCAATGAGTCTATTTATTTGCACACTTAGGGTTCCGTATTTTATCAATGAGCACTTAATAACTCATTTCTGTTACAGCAATCCAGGGCACATTGGGCTGAATATTTTACCAGAGGTTTCGGTACCATCAGACTTGTAGTCATACTTTGTTATTATTTTAAAATACAGATGGATTTGAACCTTTTATTAAAATTTAGGATTTTTCTTAGTTTACATGTATGTGTAATACACATATACAGAATTAGTCTGAAATGTTTTTCTTCTACTTTGTGAGTACATTTTTACAAAATATGTCTTTCTAGGAAAATTCCATTTCTTCTTTCATACTTTCATTCGTCTAGCAAATATTTATTGAGTTCTTACCATGGGCCAGGCACTGGGAATCTAGAATGAATATTCCCTCTTGGACAAGTTGATTGTCCTTTGCTTCCAGAATATCACATTCACACTCTTCCTTCTTTTTCACTGGCCATTTGGTTTGGTCTCAGTCTTCTGTGGTGACTTTTCACTCTCAGCTAATCCGTAAATGTTGGAAGGTTCAGGTTTCTCTTCCAGGTTCCTCTCCTTTCTGCATCTACACGCTGTTGCTAAGTGACATATGTTGAAACGCTCCAATTCATAACTTTCATACTGACCTCTCCGCAGTGCTCCACACTCACTTCTCCAGTGCCTAAAGCCTCTCCCCCGAAAGGTTAAACTCAACACAACCAAAATGGAACCCCGGTTTTTCCACTTCTCAAACCTACTCCTTACTGTAATCCCAAGCTCAGTTACAGAGTTGAGTCTTCTAGTCAAGAATACACTCCTCTTTTCCTGTCTTCAATTTTGCTATGTGGTGTTTCAGGAGTACTTCAAAGTTTTTAAAATATAGACTTTGCACATTTCTTACTAAGCTTATTTGGGTTATTTTATTATGTGTTATTATTATACGTGGTCTTTTCTTCGTATATATGTACTAACTTTTTATTGTTTACATAGATGAAAATGATTGATTTATATATGCTAATTTAATATGTCATTTCTTTGCTACACTCTCTTTTTTAAAAGAAATCTTAACTAACTTACTGGGAAACTACAGTACTTTTCCCGGCAGTTTATTAGGATTATATGTAGTCGTTCAAACCCTTTAATTATTTGGCAGTATGTTTTGTTGCCTGCACATATGTTGATATCTTACCTAGATATAAAGTAGATGAGATAGAATTTCCTCTTTAAAATCCTATAGTTATTGACTTATTGCATCCATGCTTTTAATATTCTGGTAAAATATGAAGATATTAATATTATTCTTATGTCACTACATATATACACACATATATAGATTTACATAGATATATATAAGTATATACACATACACACATAGTAGCCTCCCCTTATTCAAGGAAAATATATTCCAAGAATCCCAGTGGATACCTGAAACTACAGATAGTACCGAACCCTCTATAGGCTATTTTTCCCTATACATACATATCTTTAATAAAGTTTAATTTATAAATAAGGCAGAGTAAGAGATTAACAATACTAATAAAATAGTTATAACAATATACTAGAATAAAAGTTATGTGAATGTGGCCTCTTGCTGTCTCTCTCTCAGAATACTGTCATCTTTTCAGACCGAGGTTGACAGAAGGTGAAACTGCAAAAAGTGAAACTGCAGAGAAGGGAGGATGACTATATATACACGTGCTGGGTTTGTTTGTTTGTTTGTGACAGAGTCTTGTTCTGTCACCCAGGCTGGAATGCAGTGGCATGATCTCGGCTCACTGCCACCTCTGCCTTCCGGGTTCAAGCGATTCTTCTGCCTCAGCCTCCCGAGTAGCTGGGACTACAGTTGCCTGCCACCACACCTGGCTAATTTTTTTTTTTTTTTTTTGTATTTTTTGTATTTTTAGCAGAGATGGGGTCTCACCATATTGACCAGACTGGTCTTGAACTTCTGACCTTGTTGTCTGCCCGCCTCGACCTCCCAAAGTGCTGGGATTACAGGTGTGAGCCACCACTCCCGGCCCACATGCGGTTTTTTAAAACTGATTTTTTATCTTGCCTAGATACCTGTAATGCCTTTTCTTTCCTTGAAATTCAAAATATAATTGGGCCATTGCCATTTCATTGTTTATTCTGTGATGTATTTACAAATCTGGTGACTGATTTAAGTCTGTTGATTCAGGCTTTTCCTAGTTGAAGAA